CAATATAAATTCTATTAAACTTTTCACTTATATGAAATTTTAATTTATATATTTCATACTAATCTTTATATTGATGATTTATTTAAAAACTTCCCAAAAATTATTTTTATACATTTTTAAAATTAAATTATAAGATCAAATGACGATGTAGACTGTAGAATACGTCTACAAAGTAGACTTCTAAGAAGGTCTACAAATGCGTAGACTTCTCTCTATTATGTGTAGACTTACAAAGGACAGAACCGTAAAATAACTGTCTGTTTTTTTGTTTGGTCACAAGGGTTAAGTAGTAACTTCATAACCCCTTTAGGTTGGTTTTGCATTTGACTCAATAAGGGGTACACCTTTAGGGTTGAAATGAAATTTTAGGTTGGTTTTGGCAAATCCCCCTTATATATTAAAGGAGAAACATTTAAAAAATTGTTACCTCAGTTTTGTAATAATTAAAAAGGACCCCATGCTTATGTGTCACTCAATTAGGTAGTCAATTACATTCAATTGAAAAATAAGTAGGTCCACATTCGATTTTTATATGTCGCTAGATACATTCGTTGGTCAAATTATATGATATGATGATATGATATGATGTTTATGATAGAAGCATTTATGATTGTTCCCCTAGATATAATTACTATTTTATTTTCTTTCCATAAATAAAACCTACGGAATTACCATAAATGACTAATATATATATATGACACTTAATGATTCTAATAATAAATATTTGATAACAGTTTATATATCCTCCATCATTTTTCTTTAATTTTATATTATTAAAATAAATTAAACAATCAAATTAGCTATAAAATTAAACTTTANATAAATAAAACCTACGGAATTACCATAAATGACTAATATATATATATGACACTTAATGATTCTAATAATAAATATTTGATAACAGTTTATATATCCTCCATCATTTTTCTTTAATTTTATATTATTAAAATAAATTAAACAATCAAATTAGCTATAAAATTAAACTTTAGATTTTTTCGTATAGGTTATATTTTGAATTAAAAACGAGAATAAATAACTAAACTATTAAAATTATTATGTTAAAAATTAATGATCAATAGTTTAACATTTTTATTATAAAAAGATATACATGATTTTAAAACCATATAAGTAAAAGGTATCATTCAGTAATAAAACAAATATATATACAGATTAAACTATATACCATATAAGATTACATAAATATTTTAATTTCAAAATCCTCAATAAATTTGCAAGAACATTTATAAATTATAAAATTATTAAATTTTTCACTTTGAAATTTTTTGTTATCAATGATTTAAATATCTTAGTTCCTTTTATATTTTATATTTTTAAAAGATATTAACAATCGATAATATGGTTATTTTTGGCATATACCATACAAACCGAATGGATGTGATTTTATAAAAACCATAGGATTTGGATATGGTTTGATTTATAACCGATTAAACTGAAACATGTAAATATTTATATATTTATAACGACACATGAATATCTATTTGTTACATGAGTTGAACTATAATTATAATTTGTAAATAGCTAACAATCTATTACAACTTAGACTTCTTATTTTGATCTTTTTCTTTTTTAACAGTAACTAAATTGAAGTAAAGATTATAAATTTGATGGACAACAATTAGTTGAAATTCTTTACAACTTTTTTTTATCTTTAAACAAACAGAGTTGTGTTCAATCGAAGACATATTGGTTTGATGAACACTAAATATGGAAGAATATAAAAAATTTTCTTTCATGCTTCTGTTTTGTTTTTTATTTTTATTTTCAAAATTTAGTATTTTGATATTAATTGTAGATTTGATCATTTTATTAGATGATAGAAGCCTTTTTTGTTTTTTATTCTTTTATTTAAATATATAATATTTTTTAATAAATGACTCTGTGACAATATGACTCTAAATATGATCATATTATATATTTGTAAAATATATAATATGATCTCAAAATAAATAATCATGTTTTTTGGTATAAAATTGAATAAACTGAAAACCGATGGTATATAAACTAAATAAAATTGAAGTACATATAGATTTAGAATAGTAGTTATATTTTAATAATCGAAATACAAAAAAATCGAGCCGAATCGAAACCCGATATCCGGATTGAACACCTCTAATCCGAATGAAACCGAACTATTGTTTCATTTTTCAAAACATAATAAAAATAATAGCTTTATCATGCGCAAGGCGCGGATCTTATCCTAGTTAAAATTAAAATATAAAATTATTTCTTTTTTAAATATCTAATAGTAGTATTTTGTTATTCTGTAAATGTAATTCACTTAGTTTATAATTTACAAAAAATAGAATTAAATTATTGTATAATTATTATTTAGTGTAATTGGTAATTACAAATATGAAATATTTATATATAAATATTATAGAAGGTTATTTCTTATTCTAAAAGAAAAATGAGTTAATATTCATTAGTAATTTAATATAATATTATTTTATGTTTTTTATTATTAAAATAATATTAAAACAATAAATATCAATATTATTAAAATAGCAACATACCAATTGATAAAGGTGTTGTCCAATAATTAATTTTAACTGCTAAATATATAGATCTTATAACTACCTTCTATAATATATTGACGTTACCACTCATAATAACCATTTGGTCTCCTATGTTATGGTATTACACCAATTAAAATAAAACCACCAATCTCTATAGAACCAAGATGAATATAAATTTTTTATATATATGGTATCACATCAATTAATCTGTAAGGTATAAAAATATATTTTTCTACAATTCAAACATATTACGAGTATTACTTAAACCTGTTACAATACATAAACAATTATTATTATGAGATATATATATATATATATATATATATAATCGTTATCAATTAATCTAAATAATTATATTTTTTATACAGCAATATGACAATTTTTTATACTATTTAATTACTAAAATCAAAGTATTGTACATGTACAATATCTATTCTATTAAATTAAGATTATGACTATTAATATTTATTTAGTCCAGAAATTATTTTTTCCATGTTACATACTTAAAAAATAAACCATACATTAGGTCAAAATTTACAAAACCCATTTTTAATTACATTAAGAATTATTATGTGTAAGCGTTATTATTATTATTATTATTATTATTATTATTATTATTATTATTATTATTATTATTATTATTATTATTATTATTATTATTATATATTGAAATCAAATCATGAAAATTAATGCGAAACATATAATTTTATCTATTTAATTACTATTTCATTATTAAATAAAATTATAACTATATTTTGTTATTTAGAAAATAATAATAATTGTTTAAGAAATCAAGTATAAAATTAATATGTGAAATGGTTATGACACATAGTTATATAACATCACAAATTCAATACAATTATCAAAACCATTTAAAAAAATATTTTACACAAATATGATTACAAAGAAAAACACAAATACAATTATAAAGAAAAAAAAATTAAATTTCTAAATTGAAAACATAAAATATACCTACCCTTGAAGGGCAGATCAAAATCTAGTTTATTTTTAAAATAAAAATATATTAAAGATATTGTTAAAATATAATATGAAAAAATAGTTAAGAATATCTTTTTGATATTTTTTTTGAATATATTTAAATATTATATTAATATTATGTGTTTATTTAATAATAACTAAGTTTTTTGTATGTAACATAACATAAAATTAAATAAATGTAATGTTTTAACGTAGACTACCTGCAAGTAGATAAAAAATGATTATGTTTTAATAGTATGATTATAAACAACAAAGTTTTAATATTACATTATTCAACAAATATTCTCCTACATTTTCTCTTTCAGTTGTTACCTTTCATTAACCATATATATGTTCGCTCATCAATTATTGCCTTGGTACACATACCATTTGATCCCTGTAATACATACCCTTTTTTTTGTGAAACTGTAATACATACTTATTCCAATGAATTTTTAATTTGTCTATTTCTAATAAAAACATACGACTAATATGAACCAAAATAATATCATGTAAAAGTTCACAAAATACAAACCTCTACGTACACATGTCGATGAAAAGTCCCTTGACTCTTCACAAAGTAACGAGATATCACCAATTTTCTTTAATGTATTTACCTTCGACGACTTCAGACCTACAAATTCATTATTCTAAAATTATGCTACATGATTTAGTGATTCATTCTTATCATTCATATAAGGGTTCAAGATCTATTTCCACACATGAACTTTTATATAGTAAAAATTTATATAATAATCTTTCAACTTTGGCCTATTAACACATAATTTAATATATAAATTTATTGTCTCCCAATCAGAAAGATGGAAACCCATATCCACACAACTAAAAATTTGGATTTATTGTAATGGTTTATAACCTAAACGCATTTAAATCCAAATTAGAACCAAATTTAAAACCAAACCCAAACCTCAGATTCAACTATAAACCAGACCCATACACTTACTTAAGCTTAAAAATTCCCAAATCAACTTCATATATATATTTAAATACAATACATTTACTTTATACGAAGAATAAATAGTTATTTCAGTTTTATGTACTACTAAAGAGTATATGAGAAATTTAATCAATTTAATGAAAAAACATTATAAGATTTTCTCGGTTTTTGTAGTCGGACCTGAAGTTTGGGTCTGGTGACAGTTCACGGGTTAATGGCAGATTTGGGATTTTATCAGATTTTTCATTAATTTGTTTTCATTAAATCTATTTTTTGGAAACATATCATTATATCAGTTGGTAAAACTTTTGATAAAATGCTACATGAAGAACATAAGTATGTTCAAATTATATACGGCCATCAGATTTATTGGTTCGATCGCGTTTTCGTTCTAAATATAAACCACTGCTTATATCGGAATTCGCTTATAAACCATAATGTACCCCCATTAAAAAAAGTTAAATAATTTGTAAAAGTAAAATGTTTTTTTCAAACCATTTACATGTAGATACACTATTAGTCCTCATCATTCAGTTCTAGAAATATATAATCTATTTGGTCTTTTATGAAATTCAATTCAATTTTAGTTTCATCTTTTACTTTTTAAGACAAACCCGTACTTTTTAAACGCGTACCAAAATCTAGTTAATTTACTAATTCGTGGTTTAATATGGGAATCGGGTTGTGGGCTTCACTTTTGCGTCCAAGGAACCTTTTACTGTGCTCTCACAATTGTTTCCCAGTTTATCCACGTTGGAATCGTGTGTTTCCATACGCCGCGTCACACTTGATTCACCTTGGCCGATTTTCCTTCTGCGATAATAATTCGTCATCGCCGGGCTGTATCGCACGGTCAAATATCGTCTCGGTCTTCAATCAACGGTCAATATTCGAAGTCGTATTTCCCAGCAAACCTCGTCTCCCCTTGTCCAAGCGAAAATATAAAACCAAATATGAAATTAATTGGTACGTCTCTTGTTTGATTTCCCCCAAATTTCTAGTCTAGGGTTTCGAAAACATGATTACTCAATTCGAGTTTCTACAACCAGTAGGGATCCACGATAGGTTCAGATTCGCTACCTGTTGCAGTAACAGTCTACTCCATTCGCATACTTCGAGCTTCTTCTTCGATCGGAGTAAGGTTTTTCGCCGGAATCCAAACCGGTTCATCCCCAATTCAACCCCGCTTCCTCTGCAGAAGAAACCGGTTACAGCGTTGAGAAATGATAAAAGGTTCAATCTTTGGGATGGGTTTTCGAGGAAGAAGAGAGGGACGGTTGTGAATTGTCAAGAAGACGACAAGAAAGCGAGTTCTAGTGAGAGTAGTAGTGAGGCAGAAGAAGGCCAAGATTCTTCATCTTCGAAGGGGAAGAGAGAGAAGGAAAGGAAAGATAGGGTTTGGTGGTCAAAGGAGAAGAGAAGGGAGTGGCAGCCGATAATCCAGGCGCAGGGGATTGGAGTTTTGCTGTTGCAATTGGGCGTTGTTATGTTTGTGATGAGACTGCTCCGACCTGGGATACCTTTACCTGGTTCTGAGCCACGGGTTCAGACGACTTTCGTTAGGGTACCGTACAGTGAGTTCTTGAGTAAAGTTAACAGTAACCAGGTGCAGAAAGTGGAAGTGGATGGGGTTCAAGTTTTGTTTAAGCTGAAAGATGATGGGAAATGGCAAGAGAGTGAGTCTGGTAGTAGGTTGTCTGAGTCTACTGAGTCTCTGCTAAGGACGGTTACTCCAACGAAGAGAATTGTGTATTCGACCATAAGGCCTGGTGACATTAAAACACCGTATGAGAAGATGCTTGGGAATAATGTTGAGTTCGGGTCGCCCGATAAACGCTCTGGTGGTTTCTTTAGCTCTGGATTTGTAAGGCCACCACATTTCTTACTATATATATGCTACTCTTCGATGATGCCTTAATAGTCTATCAGAGAATGGTGTTTTGGCGATCATTTATTCAAAACTTTCTTTTGGTTTGTCTGTTTGTGTATGCAGCTAGTTCTTTTCTACATGGCGGTGCTTGTATGGCTTATTCAACGATTCCCTCTTAGCTTCTCCATGGTTTGCATCTCCATCATACTTCTATGTCTTTGTTCTGATTTTTCAATTTCCTAAAAAAGCTATGGCTGTGCGTGTACAGAGTACAACTGGTCAGCTTAAGACCCGAAAGTCTGGTAGTTCTGATGGGGGAAAAGTCTCTGGTGGTGGTGAAACAATCACTTTTGCAGATGTTGCAGGTGTTGATGAAGCAAAGGAAGAGCTAGAAGAAATCGTGGTAGGTTTTTCACTTCTTAAAAGATGCTGCACATGCTCATTGGTCATCAGATTGTCTGTGCTAGCTTTATTCTGGATATGGTTTTTGTCTTTACACATTGGATCAAACGTTGCAGGAATTTCTTAGGAATCCTGACAGGTATGTACGTTTAGGTGCACGTCCTCCTCGTGGTGTCCTATTGGTGAGTCAAATCATTTGATTTCACTTCGACAATTTCTTATGTATTTGTAATGGGTTACAAGAATTTCATGCCTTTCGTTTCCGTTCTTTTGTAGGTTGGTCTTCCTGGAACAGGGAAAACGCTTCTTGCAAAGGCTGTTGCTGGGGAAGCTGAAGTCCCCTTCATAAGTTGCTCTGCAAGTGAGTTTGTAGAGCTGTATGTCGGTATGGGTGCCTCACGTGTAAGGGATCTATTTGCCCGGGCCAAGAAAGAAGCTCCGTCTATCATATTTATTGATGAGGTTAAAATAAGTGCAATCTATGTCAGGTTACTTTTTTTACCTCTGGAACATATATAGACAAGGTTTTCTGTTTCCCTTTCATGTCTCAGATAGATGCTGTGGCAAAAAGCCGTGATGGTAAATTCAGGATCGCCAGCAATGATGAACGGGAGCAAACGTTGAACCAGCTGCTCACTGTAAGTCTTTAATCATCTTTTTTCTGCCTAAGTAACATTCTTAATTCTGGAACCTTGTTTGCAGGAGATGGATGGTTTTGACAGCAGTTCTGCGGTTATCGTTCTTGGTGCTACAAATCGTGCTGATGTCTTAGACCCGGCTCTGCGTCGCCCTGGGAGATTTGATCGTGTTGTTACGGTTGGTAGAATCATTTCGCTCTGCTAATTTGTAAGTAGTTAGGCAGTTTAGTATTCTATCAAATTTACTGACGCATTTTTTGCAGGTGGAAACGCCTGACAAAGTTGGAAGAGAATCCATTTTGAGAGTGCATGTGCTAAAGAAAGAGCTTCCTTTGGGAAATGACGTTAATCTTGGTAGTATTGCCTCGATGACCACTGGTTTTACTGGGTACCCTTTTGCAAACTATCCTTGATCTGAAATTTCTTCAGTTGGACAGTGTTTTGGTCTATATCTCATGAAGTCTTATGTCCAATTTTGCAGGGCGGACCTTGCTAACTTGGTAAATGAGGCTGCCTTGCTAGCTGGAAGAATGAGCAAGACGACTGTTGACAAAATTGACTTTATTCAAGCTGTGGAGCGATCAATAGCAGTAATTTTTCTATCCTCTCTATTCTACTGATTACGTGTAGCAATCCGTTTTCCTTACAGGGCATCTGCTTCAGGGCATAGAGAAGAAAACTGCAAGATTAAAAGGCAATGAGAAGGGTGTGGTTGCAAGGCATGAAGCTGGGCATGCAGTGGTTGGTACTGCTGTTGCAAAACTTCTTACTGGACAGCCACGTGTAGAGGTAAACAACGAAAGCAGTTTAGACATTCATGTTTCTGCTGTTTGAAGAAGCTGAGTGAAATCTGCTAACATGTGCAAATCATTCATCTTTTTGGTTATCAGAAATTAAGTATATTGCCAAGAACCGGAGGGGCATTGGGCTTTACTTACATACCTCCTACCAACGAAGACAGATATTTGCTCTTCATCGATGAACTGCTTGGACGTTTGGTAACCCTTCTTGGAGGTCGTGCAGCTGAAGAGGTTGTGTACTCGGGGCGTGTATCAACAGGTGCATTTGACGATATCAGGCGGGCAACTGATATGGCGTACAAAGCAGTAGCTGAATATGGTCTGAACCAGAAAATCGGACCTGTGTCTCTGTCCACACTTTCTGGTGGTGGGATTGATGAATCGGGAGGCTCACCATGGGGTGGGGATCAGGTAACTGTCATTTTTGCATTGCATTTGTCGATGTAGGCTTTGATGGTGTTCCCTTGAAAGAACGCAACACTTAAAAATCTTCCATGTTGAAATTCACAGGGGAAACTAGTTGATCTTGTTCAAAGAGAAGTGACAAATCTGTTACACTCTGCTCTTGATGTTGCACTTTCTGTTGTACGTGCTAATCTAGATGTATTGGAAGGACTTGGCGCTCATCTTGAAGGTAATCCTTTACCAGATAGTATCAGTTAATTTACTCACATTCCCTAAAGTGTAGGACATTGTATTAAGGCTTCAGTTTGTTTGATGTGATAACTGGCTGACTCTGATGATGAAAACATCATGTTTTTGGTGCAGAGAAAGAGAAAGTAGAAGGTGAAGATTTGCAGAAGTGGTTGAGTATGGTGGTCGCACCTGAAGAACTCGCAGTCTTTGTCAAAGGAAAGCAAGAGGCTTTGCTCCCTGCAAGAGCTAGCTCCAGTTAATAGCAACAATGTTGTGTCATCAATTATAGCCCATAAAGACAGTTTCTAACACAGATCATGTATCTCCAAGGTCAGATATGGTTATCACCATCATTGCCTATGCATAGCATACATATAGCACTTGAATCAAACTCCAAAATAACCATTTGGGAATATCATTCTGGTGATAGCTTATAGATTTACTGGCTGTGTTGTAACATTTGGCATTCTTGATGGATACAGTCTCTTAAAAGAGATTGGCAAAATTGTATCATTGATTTAGATGTATAAAAGCCATATACATATTATACAATATGTGCTTTGAGAATAGTGTGGTTACATGCTTGAATTCTCACAACTCTATCTTGTATACGAATCATCATTTGCCCTCCTGTTCTTCGTGTATTTTCCATATTTTTCTTTTTCAAATTTGTCTGAAGAGTGGTGCATGAATTTTGAAAGTGAATTATGACACACTATGAGATGAAGAAAGAGCAGTTTATATATAATTGAAGTCTGAAGAATTATAGATAATGCAAAACAGAGGAAAAAACAATGCAAAGTAAGTAGTATACGTTTTTCTTTTTACTTTTTGTTGAAGAAGCCACCCAAGCCGGCAAATCCACCATCATTCTTCTTGGGGGCCACAGGCACCGGAGCCGAGCTTTTACCGCCGCGAACGGATCCTCGGCCTCCGGTGGTGCTGCTTTTGGTGCCTTGTTTCTCCTCAACCTTCTTGAGAATTGGATCAGTCTCGTAGAACTGATCTTGCTTTGTCAGATAACCCAGCACAAAGTCGAGGGGATTCTTCTCCTCCGCCTTGGCGCCTCCTGAAGTTCCCTTGGTTGTGGCGTAAACCCTCACTGTGGCCGGAGCAAACGACATAAGAAGCGACGAAACCATTCTTGTTATCTCCTTCTCGGGACTCTTTGTGTGTGTAAGTAAATGAGTATGCCTTCGTGTTGCATTTGTTACGAAGGGATTATAATGAGGTTTGGTGAAACTGAGCCGTTAGATCTTTTTGGCACAGGCTCGCCACAGGTGTCTTATCCTCTCGCTCTTTTCTCTTCACACATTTTTCCTAAATACGGATTTTATTTGTTTGTCCCAAAACAATATTTTTTTAATTTTGGTTTTATATGATATATCAGCACATATTATATGTCTATTGTATGGTTATTCTTAAATATAATTGCATATTTTTAGTCAAACTCTCCCTTATTTATTCTTTTTTTTTCCAAAGGAGATACATATATGAATGTGGAGGAGACACGCATTGGTTTTGTAGTGAGTGATGTGTCTATGTCACCGAAGCCTTTTATGTTATTGGGCCTCCTAGTCTCATTATTATGAAACTCATAATCAAGGAATTGTCCAAAAAGTTTTGAAACTCAAGGTGGGACTTTAAACAAAAAAAATGTCTTGAGGCAATGGGGTTATTGCAGTAGACTCCCATGACTATTAGCAAGTGAACAAATTAGAACTACTATAATTGGACTCAGATGCGTAGGCAAGCCACATCACTCCCAACAAAACAGAAGCATAGCATGGCCTCATGGGAGCAATCTTATATATTAAAACAGAAGTTATGACTTGACTTCATGTGTGATTTTTTTTAAAATGGACTATTATTAGAAAGTCATGTTACATTAATTCTCTAATAATCTTATCATTATTATATCTTATGAAAAATCATATATAATAACAAAGATACGCTTAACAATTTAGTTTAGGTAAACTACCTCACACCTTCCAACTTAGTCACGCAAAATATGTCAATAGATATAAGTTTAGGAATCTTCTATTATTTATAAGGAAATATGTCAATAATAGTTAAATGCATCCACAATATATAAACAAAAATCACAGATTCGTAATATGGAATATTTATATACCCTAACAAAATTTACACGCTATATATACTAGATAAATTTATTTCGATGTAAATTTTAAAAATTATATTGTTTTAAAAAAAGAAATTCTTTAAAATTATTTTTTAATAAAATTCTTTATCATATTAATTTATAAAGCTATAAGTTTAGTTTTTAGCAAAAATTTCTTCAAAGTTTATATTATCTTTGCAAATTAAAGTATACAAATATTTAATCAAGCTCTATTTCTATTACTTTATCTAAAAATGAAATACGAATCTAACAAACAATAAAATATAGAAGAAGAAACAAACACATGTTTTTCAAACATGTATAATATAGAAAATTTGAAACAATCTATTTGACTAAAACACGTATTATATAATATTATTATGTTTGAAAAATATTTACTATATATATCGTAAATATGTGATTACTATAATATATACCAATTTACAAGGAAAATAAAATGTTTATATAACTAACTATAAACGAAAACAAATACCCGCGCGGTTGCGAGGGTCAAAATCTAGTCTTATATATTAAAACAGAAGTCATGACTTGACTTCATGTGTGATTTTTTAAAAAATAGACTATTACTAGAAAGTCATGTTACATAACTCTCTAATAATCTGATCATTATTATATCTTATGAAAAATCATATCTATGATAGCAAAGATACGCTTAACAATTTGGTTTTGGTAAATTACTTCACACCTTCCAATTTAGTCACACAAAATATGTCAATAGGTATAAGTTTAGGAATCTTCTATTATTTATAAGGAAATATGTCAATAATAGTTAAATGCATCCACAATATATTAACAAAAATCACAGATTCGTAATATGGAATATTTCTGTACCCTAACAAAATTTACACGATATATATAATAGATAAATTTATTTCGATGTAAATTTTTAAAATAATATTGTTTAAAAAATTATTTTTAATAAAATTCTTTATAATATTAATTTATGAAGATATAAGTTTAGTTTTTAGCAAAAATTTCTTTGAAGTTTATATTATCTTTAAAAATTAAAGTATACTAATATTTAATCAAGCTCTATTTATATTAATTTATCTAAAAATGAAATACCAATCTTACAAACAATAAAATATAGAAGAAGAAACAAACACATGTTTGAAAAACATGTATAATATAAAAAATTTGAAACAATCTATTTGATTAAAACACGTATTATATAATATTATTATGTTTGAAAAACATTTACTATACATATCGTAAATATGTGATTACTATAATATATATCAATTTACAAGTGAAAGCAAAATGTTTATATAACTAACTATAAACGAAAACAAACACCCGCGCGGTTGCGCGGGTTGAAATCTAGTATAAGTTAAAACACACAACTAATACATGAACGGAGTAACAATATTGAAATCGAATGCTTAACATGCCTTGGTTTCTATATTTATCTTTGTTCAGTCTATAAGTTATTTACACGTATGAATCCTAATATTCATTGTAGCCTCGTGAAAGTAGTAATCTTAGAACGATGAATCCACTATTCTTTTTCAAATATACTCGCATTTTATTTCACTAAAAGCAATGCTCAGTGATTAGTGTTTGGATCTACACGTCTTATTGCGCTCAGACAGTATTAGTAGACCAATAGTTGTTGACTCTACGACCGTACTGACTCCAAAGTAAAATAAATTATAGAAAAAAAAACAGAAGCAAAGAGGAGCAATGTTTTATTAGGCAGGCACTGATTTACTCAAAAACACTACTTACAATTTTTCCTCTTAGCTTCTGTGGTCTATCTATAACTCCTGTCACTATCTCTTTACTGCAGATTGCTGCTAACCCACACCATTCTCTGGCTTCTAAAACCTCTCAAGCGATTTCTTGAGGAGAATCAAAAGATTCCAAAGGGAAACACGTTTCTTCACCACCTGTTTGCCAGAGGAAATTAGCGTAGCTGGCAGCGTAGAAGGAGTTGGTAGGATCTACAGATATAGCTTCTAGAAAGTTCTCCTCAGCCGCCCATAGATCCTTCCTAACTTTCCACTGGAAGATGGCGTATTTGCTGTACACTTCCGCGTCTATTTCCCCTGACTCTATGGCTTTCTTGAAACACTTGTCCGCTCTGAAACATCCAAAAGCAAACTTCATTCTCAAGTTCCAAATTTTACAATCTATCACGACTCCTTAAGCTATATTAATAACTCTTTGAATGTTAGATGCATGAATAGACAAAGGATATATCACCTGTCGTAGTCTTGAGAGACGAGGTAAAGGAACTGAGCGTAGTTAGCTAAGAGCAAAGTATTGTTCGGTTCTTGAGCCAAACTTAACTTATATAAAAGCTCTGTTCTAGTGTAGTTAGCACTATCGTCCAATGCAACCCTTGCTATGATGGGTGAAACAAGTCTCAGCCTCATGTCACGATCCACAGAGGAATCTTGCATTTGTTCAGCTTCTTCCACCATCGAATTCCACAGACTCAGCTCCTCTTCTCTTATCCCTTGTCCTAAAACTGATTCCCGTTGGCCTTTAGTAGCTTCTTCTATCACAGCAGAGTCTGGGGGTGATGCTGCAATAGCTAGATTAGATGCAACTGAATGCACAGTGAAGTTAGCCAACAGAATCATCACGTACACCATCAAAGTAGGAGTCTGAGAGAACACGCGCTGGAAAATCCACAGCAACGAAGCGTGCATATCCTTCTTAACATGCTTAAGACAACCTTCGTAGAAGACAACCTCTCTCGTCTGCAACGCAAAGCTATGCATCTCCTCAATCATAAAGACCATAGAAGAGAAGGCTTTGTCGATAGAACAGTAAGTAGACTCTCTAGCTTCTTTAACTTTAAGCGCCTCCTCTTCTTGTAACTTCCTCTTAATCATTCTAAGGGAGAGAGGCAAATCAACACTGTTTGCTTTCCGCTCAATGCTGGAATGGTTAACCATCTCAATCCATGGAGCTTCTAAAGAAGCTAGACCTGGAACAGACTCTTGTAGTAGTAGCTTCACATTTCCGAACCTGTGATTCATACGATCGGGTTCATGGGTTCGATGAAAGTCATCTTCTTTCTTGAATTGTAGGGCTAATTCTTGCATCTTCGCCGAGAACTCTTCGTCGGAGGAGAAGAAACCGGAGCTCGCGCTGCAAACTCTCCGCAGAGGATAAGGTTTCGTGGAGAATTCCAGAAGCTCGCAAGATTTGGATCTGTGGAGTTTCCCAGATTGGGTTCTGAGAAAAGTGGAAGCTTTCAATCTCATCGTTTGGGATGATAACGAAGATCCTTCTCCTCTTGCACGAGAACGACGACGTTTTGAAGAGGTTAGGGCTTGTGAGAGACAAGGATGGTGAGGGATCGCCGTATGGCTTCCTGACCAATGAAAAGACGTCGTTGTCGCTACTTTTACATCCATTCTTCTTAGAGAAGAGAGGCGTAAGCTCTTGAATTCGTTTAAATGTTTTAATCTTTCTTTTCCGTTCGATTTTGGTCAATCGAATTCAGAGGGTTAAGCTCCTGAAATTTTGTTGTGAACAAAAGGTAAGAGACAACAAGCCCACCCAGTTTATATACGAACAAAGATTAAACGGAGAAAATTAGTCAAATACTTAAAAAGAAATAAATAGTTAGTTACCGGATATAGCCGGTGGCCATTTTTATTAAAGGCGCGTGCTATTTCGAGAAGAGATCAGATTTTAATTATTCCATGGGTAGAAACGGTAACAGGTGATTGACCTAAGAAAGTTCAGCTAACTGTGTAACGCGGTTTACTCGGGAGCACGTGCTTTTTACTGAGTTCCTACCGGCCTTCATCCCGGATTTATCTTACGGATCTTAATGAGCCACGTGTCTTTTTGTTACACGGACCTGGCTTTTGGCACGTAGGAAGATTGTTCACGTGCCATGAGGAAGTACTTATTAATATTATTGAGATATGTATATTTACGGAATAAGATCAATGTTTGTCAGACAAAGATATGAAGTACATTGACACCACTTGATATTTTGGTGGTTTGGAGTATTATGATTTTTATATAGTAATAAAGAGCGAAGGCTTACTTTTTTTTTCCCTTACTTATCTAAGCTGATATGAGAATACCTTCTGAATACCTTAAGAAGGGGATTCTTCTATAGCATACAAGGAGTAGGAAATGGAACTATTACAATGAATTCAAAAGCATCAGATCTCTCTTGGTCAAACTGATACCCACCACCACATTGTTTTTTCACTGCATTATTAGTGTTTTTCCTTTCAGTGTATCACTTAAAAACAGAAATAAATTATAGAAATGATCTTACGTTTAGGTGATATATCATAAAAATTGTCACATAATTTAAACTGAGTATAGAATCTTCAATAATGGAAGTTTAACCTTTTTGGGATACTAACTACTCATGTCAAATCTTGCATTTATTAATAGATGACTGATTTTCCACTACCACCTACAAACACAACTTTTGCAGTTATTAGCGGTTATTGATGTGTTACAACAATTGTAGAAAGCGTTATAACCTTTAAAATCCAAAATTAGTTCTATTTAGCGTCTATGGACATTGTTAGAGGGAGAAACATTTTTTCCAAAAATTATATAATATAAAAAGAAATATTCAATTAAAATTTTTAAATTGAAATAATAGAAATACCAATATATATTATAAGTATCATGAATGATATAGTCCTGAAGTTTACCCTACCCCCACTACAACACAACATATGCAGTTATAAAAATCACGATTTGACAAGTTTTGTACTTGGTTTTAACAATGGAACGAGATAGTAATATATGAAATGTATCTCTTGGATCAAACAGAAATAAAATAAAGAAACAAACATAGATTTGATGATAATAAGAACTGTATTACAAGCTTGAGAGAATTATAATGGTGTCTCTCACCTCCCACTCTTGTGATATAATCTCTAGATTAAAGATAGCTAATGAGATTGTTCTCTATTTGTACCTAACTCACACTTTCCTCCTCATGCATTCGTGATGCAACATTCCACGTGATGAAATATTCTATGTGCACTAGATCTCCAGCTTAGCAGGAGAGCAAGGACAGTCCATCTTTATTCCTTATTCTAGAAGCTTCCTAAGATGAAACCAACAATTCTTCTTGAGCCAAATTATTCCTCCAAGCCTTCTATATCCTTTGGGCCTTGTAGATGAAAATATCACACGAAACAAGTAGCCTTCGGTGTTGAACCGATGCGAACTCGCTGAACCGAACCAACGACAAAGCTAAAACAATTGCTACTACAACATAATGATGCAAAGAAGCACATGCATTACCAGATTCTCCATTCAAGTATTTATCAAAGCACAGAGTTATCAAACATTAACAACAAAATTGATTAATCAATGACGCCACTAAAACACTCAGTTCAGTTAGATAAGCCTCATAGATAAACCAAAACCACTTGTTATCCAAGGGAAATAACAACATAACCTGAAGACCATTGAGGATTATCAATTATAATTCTGGTAACAAACCATTCGTTTATTGTCCTTACTCCTTACTAACATAACATTCATTAACTTATTCTGCAAGCATATGCATATTTGTTAAGAGTTATAACCACAATTTGTGAGATTAACTTATTTATGGCTTCACTCATTACTAAACGGTTCTTCGGAGATTCTTCAAAATGTGAACACATACATTGAATTAGATATGGGACTTATGGTACTAAGAAGAGGGTTCAAAGAAGGATTATCATGAAAGGGTTAGAGGGAATAATCCATATCATCACCTACTTGCACATGAGATGTTGGCACATGTGAGACTAGCATCATGTGAATAGGTTGGGAGGGAAAGTGCTACATATAAATAAGAGAGTGAGGATTGTAGAGAGGATCATCTAGGCTTTGAGTAATATCAGAGAGAGAGGAAGTAGAATAGAGATGGGATAGAGAGTGATCTCTAATCGTTACCTTGTAAACTGTTTTCTCATTCACTAAGAAAGTATTTCTCTGTTGTTCTGTAAAGAAAATAGTACTTGTATTTGATTAACAAATGATTACAATACCAAATTCACCTAGAGCTAAAGTCCCGAGTGAATCTGATCTTTAGAAACGAGATCATATTCCCGTAACTGGCACTCTTGAGAGATTTCTCGCTACAAGTCAAGTTGATTCTATTACAATTAATCAAATTAATATATTTCTGCAAAACTTCTACTATTTATTTTCTTCCTGCCACGTCACGTTTCTACGTTTCTGTCCATATTTCCTCTCAGCTTCTTTCGAGTATACACTCTTAATGGTCTATCAATAACCGCTGCGTCGAAATGAAGCTTATCCTCAAGCTTCAGGTGAGGAAATTGCTTCAACAACATGACTGATTTCTCCCATGAATTCTCATAATCCGGTAAACCAGTCCATGAAACAAAAACTTCCAAACATCCTTATGCATCATCGAGTGTATCTAAGACATTCTCAGGCTCAGTCATCAATTCATCAGCAGTGGATAATGATCAAGGAAGCTCAGAAACATGATAATCATGTCCAACCATCAGTTTTAACTAAGACACATGAAACACATTGTGTATTCTAGAATCATCAGGTAACTGTAGCCTATATGCAACGGCGCCTACTCGTTCAATCACTTCAAATGGACTAAAATAACGAGCAGCAAGTTTTTGATAGAGGCGTTTGACAACGAAGTGTTGACGGTAAGGACAAAACTTTAAAAAGATCATATCTCCCACTTGAAAAACCAGCTCCCTCATATGTTTATCTACATTAGTTTTCATGCGGTCTTGAGCCAGCAATAAATGATGTTTGATATGTCTCAACATTGTATCTAGTTCTCGTAACATACATTCCAGATCAAAATTAGCAGTTGATCTCTCTTCAAACTTCAATACCGAAGGAGGTTCCCTTCCATATACTACGTGTAAAGGTGGTGTGCCTAAAGTTGTATGGTAATTAGTATTATACCATAATTCATCCCAAGGTAAGTACTTAACCTATGATTTTGGATGAGAAGAAGCAAACCATAAAAGATATGTCTCCAAGCAATGATTTATAACTTCGATTTGACCATCACTTTGGGGATAAAGGGTTGTGCTATACTGTGTTTAAAATTTGTGCATGGCGTTCTAAGACGAAACAGTTTGTGCCTTGTTCCATGGTGCAATAAGGCGCTCGCCTTGATGATCAAAGTGGAAATCCGTTCATCTAGCTTGTTTTCATCTCTTCAAATTCATTTAACGACAACAAGGCTTAGAGACCACTTAGAGAAACTATTAGTTATGTCTTGTATTGGAGAATAAAATAATTTACACAAAGAATGATTCATTCACATACAAGACATGTAATTTAAATGCAAGCTTTATTATGAAATAGAACTCAGAGTCATTAATGAAAACTCAAAAATAAAATTATTCAAAACCAAAACCCAAAAACAAAGTTTCAAATGTAGAAAACCTAATATATAACTTAAAAACAATACCTAAAATTCATCTTCGTAAGCACCATCATTCTCATCATCATCAAGTCAACATCCTCATACCCAAGATCATCTTCATCTAAATCATTTTCCAACTCTTCCTCCTCATCAACCAATGTCATAACGGATGGAGATGGTCCATACTGTTTTTCTGACTTGAGCTAGCAACACCTTTTTTCTGTTATCTCTTTGAGATGAACTTGTACTTTTTGTTCTTTTAGTAGAATAGTTAGGTTCTTCCGTATCCATAGATTGGCTCACAACACTCTATGGAAAAATCATCATCTTCTCACACTAAATCATCACCATCAGATGAATCTCCATCCACTCTTCCAATCAACCACTCATTGCTTTCATCAATTTCATTTAAAATAATAGGCGTTTTAGAGCTCGGTTGTACTTCACAAAAATCATGTTGTTCATCCGATGTTGTGCTAGTAGATTTCTGATTTTCATATGAGGCTGTTACAAAAACTTATAAGTAAAACGAAATCACCTAGAAATATAAAATAAAGGTAACTAAAAAGAATTACAATTTGGAAAACACTCTAATTTCTTTCACAACCAGTATTCATGTGCGAAGGAACTCAGGAATCACTTTCCTTTCATTGAAAACAACATAAAAAGAAGTGTTCTAAGGCCAATAGACAGAAATTGAGTGCTTGATGTAGCATATCTATTGTTCACTCTCTTTCGTCTGGGATTCCCCTGCCGACAATTGTACAAGTCTCCTTTCACTTCTTCGTAACATATATCATCGTGATATTTGTAATGGATTGAAGAGTTTAGGAAATACCTAGAAGCATGCAAAGGATGGTGAAACTGACACTTCTACCTTTTGTCAATGATCTCAAAGGCTTTTTCATATTTCTCTTTATTCCACTTAAAACTCTTTACGATTGTTTCTTTTACCATGTCCATAGCTTCATAAATGTATCACATAGTTAGTTATTTCTCTCCATC